TATAAAATAGTATTTTCCATGCCATTTGCAATATAATACAGTATTATACGTATCAATGTATTACAATATTCAGTTGCTATCACACTTCTGTGTAACCAACATCTTTAAAACCACACAAAACAAAATAAACCCAATACCACAGTGAAGTGGTAGGATTGTGTATAACGTTCTGGTTAGGGGAGTAAAATCCGTAATGGGCCCCGATGCTTCTTAAGCCAGAGAAAACTTATTAGCTCCTCAACAGTGAGTGTTCTATATTGGGATTGAGAGTTATTGATAGATAAATTAAATATGTTGCGCTATGATGTTTGTTTCTCTTTATATTTGTTGATAAGGGTACACTAGAATATTTAAAGAAAAAGTGTTTCATCGTTTATATCTTTTTTTGGTGGTTTACATAGTGCTCCTCTTCACCATGGGATTGAATTACCAAATAATAGATTGTGATTGGGACCAGGATTAAAGTGTTACTCCAACCACCATGACCACTTCAGTGATTTGAAATGGTCATGCTGGTAGGAGTCAGTATGTGCAGTATTTCAGCTTGAAACACTGGACATCCAGAAATATTTTTAATTGTGTGCTGGGCACTAGTGGCATCCTTAGCACATGTTCTGGGCTGCCTAATGTCAGTTCTGTGAATATTTTGCCTCTGTCATCAGCACGCACTGCATGCTGCTGACAGATGTGATCATCTTCTGCCTTGGAGACAGAGCTCCTGCAAGAAGGAGGTCACAACCCCTCCCTCCCACAATGCTCTCCCTCCATTACGATCAGGATTACTGTATGATCCAGCACGTAGAACTGTATAGCCTGAATGACAAATAAGTAACGTATTACCGGTCCTTAGAATGGCTGGATTTAACGTACATAGCATAGTCAAAATACTAACCAAGGTCAGGGAACACAGAAAGGGACGCAATGATGAGGAAAGGCAGGAGTCAGGATACCAGAATACAGAGAAGTCAATAAGCAAAGCCAAAGTCAAAAACCAGTAGAAAACTATAAACAGGAACGCGCTCTCGGACAACCACGACAGGGCACTGAGTGGAGGTCAGACTAGGTTTTTATATCCATCCTCCCTTTCCCATTGGTCAGCCCAGTATTTACGTGGGCATGCGGTGCGCGCGTTCACGTGCGTGGGGTTATTTCTGCCTGTGGATATGCAACGGCAGGACTGCAAGCTTCCAGCCGCTGAGCACCAGGTGGGGGAAAAGTGTCAGATGGTTATGTGACATAAACCCCACCTGAAGACCGCCCACCGGGTGGGCAGGACCGGGCTTGAGAGGAAACTTGGCATGAAAAGCGTGGATCTTACGGCCCGCATGCAGGTCAGGAGCCGAAACCCAAGAACGATCAGCAGGACCGTAACCTTTCCAATCCACCAAGTACTGTAAAGTGCTCCGAGAAAACCTAGAATCCACAATAGAATACCTCATACTCTTCCTGACCACCCACCACCACCGGAGGGGGAGGAACACAAGGAACAGTATATTTATTGCAGACAAGAGGTTTGAGTAAGGACACATGAAAAGTGTTGGGAACCCCTAACGATGCAGAAAGATCCAGAGAGTAAAACACTGGATTGATCCTACGAAGCACTTTATAGGGACCAAGGAATCTGGGGGCAAACTTCATGCTAGGGACCTTAAGCTTGATGTTGTGAGACGACAACCAAACCCGGTCACCCACTTGGTACTTTGAAGCGTTCAGCAGCAGCCCCCAGAGCAGTTTGAACCTTAACCCAGGTATCCCGAATGGAGACAAGATGCTCATCCAGAGCAGTAATGGCAGTATCAGAAAAAAACGCAGGGAGAACCGTAGGATGCCTACCATTATTGACAAGAAATGGACTATGCCCAGATGAGTCATGAACAGCATTGTTTCTAGCGAACTCGGCCCACGGGAGTAGTTCGGACCAATTGTCCTGTGTGCTATTAACAAAACAACGCAAATAAACTTCTAATGACTGGTTAGCCCTCTCAGCTGTACCATTGGTCTGTGGATGGTAGGAGGAGGAGAAGGAGAGATCAATCCCCAATTGTTTACTGAACGCCCTCCAGAACCTGGACACAAACTGAGAGCCCCTATCAGACACAATATTGTGAGGGATGAAAAGCAAACGGACAATTTCACGTATGAAAATTAGGACCAATTCTTGCGAAGATGGCAACTTCTTGAGAGGAATGAAGTGAGCCATCTTAGAAAATCAGTCTACAACCATTAGAATAGTAGTGAACCCAGCAGAGCTAGGAAGCTCAACAATAAAGTCCATGGACAAGTGGGACCATGGAATTTCAGGAACAGGAAGAAGCTGCAACAGGCCACAAGGAAGTGCACGAGTCACCTTAGAAACTGCACACACAGAACATGCCTGCACATACTCTTTTACATCTTTCCTGAGTGAATCCCACCAAAATGATCTAGTGATCGCGGCAGTGGACTTATTGATGCCCGGGTGTCCAGCGGTTACATTGTCATGGAACACTTTCATGATATTAAGCCTTTCACATAGAGGAACGAACAGTTTATCACACGGTTTACCACTGGGCGCCTGAGGCTGGGCCTCCAGTATGGTGCCAAGCAGTGGAGAAGACAGTGAGAGGACAGTAGTAGCAATAATACACTCTGGCGGAATAATAGGAGATGTCACCTGTTCCGTAGCTGATTCATTATCAAATTGCCTGGACAAGGCGTCAGCCTTGGTATTTTTAGAACCAGGTCCATAAGTAATGAAGTTAAAACGTGAAAGGAACAGTGACCATTTAGCCTGTCTGGAAGACAAATGTTTGGCATCCCCTATATACACCAGGTTTTTGTGGTCGGTTATGATCAACAGGGGGTCCTTGGAACCCTCCAAAAGATGTCGCCATTCCTTGAGGGCAAGAATAATGGCAAACAGTTCTCTATTGTCAATATCGTAGTTGCGCTCAGCAGGAGACAGCTTTCTGGAGAAGTAGCCACAAGGATGCAATGGTGTTCCTTGGCTTTCTCTCTGAGAGAGAACAGCCCCTACCCCTGTCTCGGATGCATCAACATCCAATATAAAAGGTTTACTGGTGTCGGGATGTTTTAGTATGTCCGCAGAGGCAAATCTTTGTTTGGGACACAGAAAGGGACGCAACGATGAGAAGTCAATAAGCAAAGCCAAAGTAAAAAAAAAACAGTAGAAAACTATAAATATGAATGCGCTCTCGGACAACCACATGGGAAACCACGACAGGGCACTGAGTGGAGGTCAGATTAGGTTTTTATATCCATCCTCCCTTTCCCATTGGTCAGCACGGTATATTGGCTCCGCGCGCGCAGGGTTATTTCTGCCCGTGGATGTGCAACGCCCATTGCCAGACTGTATGCTGAGACAGTCAGGATTGCAAGCTTCCGACTGCTGAGCACCAGGTGGGGGAAAAGTGTCAGATGGATATGACAATTACCCACAGTGCTTAAAAAAAAAAAAAAGGAACCCTCCCTCCATCTCCACTCTATCCCATTCCCTTCTCTAGCTGGCCCAGAGCATGTGCAAGCTCTTAGAGAGGCCTGTGAGTGGTCCACCACCAGCCCCTGTGACATCAGAAAGGTAGTGGAAAGCTGATGGACCTGGCATTGACCTTCAGAGGAGTAAAACTCAATTTTTTTTACATGTTTGGAAGGGGGACTTTCTCCATAGTGCCCAATAGGGCATTTTACCCTAGAAAGGTCCACAAGGGTTGAGGTAACCCTTTAATATATTAGTATATTCAATTAATTTATGTAGGATTTTTAGTATATGTTTAATTAGAATTTTATGTATTGTGAAGTAATCAGCTGTGATACAATGATATAAAGATACAACAATAAGCACTCAATGTACATGCTTTACATGAGATTGGGATTTAAAAAATACTAGGCACAATATGCAATGTCAATTGGCAGTTGCTAAGGCCAGTAAGGTATTGTCATGTATTGTCATCCAGTCTCCTATTCCCTCAAAAAAGCATTGAAAACTCACTTTTTCAGGAAAGCATATTAGTTAGACTGTTAATAGCTTTCCCCCAATGCACTCTGATTCCTCTCATGCAACTGTCAAAAAACAAAAACCAAAAAACCCACTAAGTCTTCAGTGAATAATATCCTAGCAATCTATTTTATACCCTACCCTTTGGTGTCACTATACCCCAATCCCTCTAGCATGTAACCTCATTGAGCAGGGCCTTCAACCTTTTTGTTCCTGTGCGTCCAACTAGTCAGTTACAATTATGTTTCTGTTAATCCACCCGTTGTAAAGCGCTGCAGAATTCGTTGGCACTTTATAAATAATAATAATAATGTATAAACAGAAACATTGATTCTAGGGATGAAAATATAATGTCTCTTTATAAAGACTTCACCATGAATATGTTGTGCATTTTTGGGCACCTGTTCTAAAGAAGGATATTTTAAGAAAAAAGTTACCTGCGCTCTTCCCAAATCCCTGTGCATATTTAAACAAATGGAGGTTATTTAGTTTCTCCAATGGCCATGAGAGAGTTTAGCCCACCTGCCACATCAAGACAAACCTCTCAGGTGGGTCCTACACTAACCTTTAACCTTGCTTCCCTGAGCTTCTGGCAAAGATAACTCTAATGAGACAGAAAGGGGTATACGCCCCTACATGCTTATTAACCCTTAATAAAAAACACATGGGCGGCAGCATTGTAACCTGGCTATGTAATACAAAAGTGAATGCAAATACAAAAAACAAGTCCTGCGCTCAAACTCCCATTACTCCATAGTACACATCAGCCAAAATACATATAGTAAAAACCAAAGAAAAAAAGTTACCTGCGCTCTTCCCAAATCCCTATGCATATTTAAACAAATTGAGATTATTTAGTTTCTCCAGTATAGAGGCAGGCTACAATGTTGATAAAATAAATGGTGCATTTTACTTATGTATTAAGGTTAACAATAGTGATGTCCCGAACGGTTCGCCACAGATGGCGAACATATGCGGTAAACTTTGACCCTGTACCTCACAGTCAGCAGACACATTCCAGTCAATCAGCAGCAGACCCTCCCTCCCAGACCCTCCCACCTCCTGGACAGCATCCATTTTACATTCATTGTGAAGCTGCATTCTTAGTGAGCTGTCCAGGAGGTGGGAGGGTCTGGGAGGGAGGGTCTGCTGCTGATTGGCTGGAATGTGTCTGCTGACTGTGAGGTACGGGGTCAAAGTTTACCGCATATGTTCGCCTGTCCGTTCGGGACATCACTAGTTAACAAATGTACATCTCTTTAGTTTGGAAAACAACACATCAGATAGCAATATACAAATATATTCGGGACAAATCCAAACCAGTGTCTGGAAATCTATTTAGAAACAGGATTATATATAGGAAACGAGGTCCGGAATAATGTAGATTTAGTCTAAAGCAAAGCAAAATGTTTTTTTACAGTAAGAACAATAAGGATGTGGATTTCTCTGCCTCAAGAGGTGGTTTTATCAGAGTGTGTAAATATAAAAAAAAACATAATATAGAGGGATATCATTTTTAATTAGTGGGTAATAGCGATATCTCACTGCCATTCTGGGGTCAAGAATATTTTTTTTCTAGTTTGTTGCAAAATTGGACGTGCTTGAGACTCGTTTTTTGCATTCTTTTGGATTAACAGCAAAAACAAATGTGAGAAAGGCTGAAGTTGATGGACAGCTATGTAACTATGTAAATCACTGTATCAATTACTCAAGATACAATTTTGGTTTACTAACAGCTTCTGTCTATTCACAGTGCACAAATTTGTTAAAGACGATGTTAGTATCCCATTGCAATTTCTATAAATGTATAGTGTAAATTTGCATTGTGTAATACAAAAACCTTTTATAGGAATCTGATGGCACTATATAAATAATAAAATAATAAATAATAGTAGCTTTTAGGCAATAGATAGTGTACTTATCATATTTTCTGCTGCATGCTTGGTCACACATCATATTTACATTCACCAAAGTATATTGCACTTTTTATGCTAGCTATAATTTTGGGCATTTAAGTGAACAGTTCTTTCTTTTCAGTTCAATATATTTTATGTGAGAAAAAGTGGAATACACGAAAGAAAATACGGCAAGATTCACATTCTAAATTAGAATAAAATTAAATGAGTGAGGCATCTTAATAAAAGTTGTCAAGATTGCCAGTAACAACAAAGAGAATTTTTTTTTTGTAAAACAGAAAACATGTATGTCTAAAAAAAAAAAAAGATATTGTAGCCAACAGTTTGTGAAAAGACTACGAAGAATTGAATTATTATCATTTATTTCCCAGTTAAAAACATGCTCCCATAATCTATGAAATGTGTTTTTAAACTTCATTTGATTTCCCTGAAGTATGCTGTGGTTTGCCAATATTAATCCTAAGTAATTGAATGTTTATAGGCTTTCAAATAGTGTTAATGGTATCATTGCATTGCACTAATTAACCTTTGTTAGAAAATCAAGGATGTCCATAAAATGTAGCCTCTCAGAAATGGGCATGCTCATCCCCTCCTGCAAGACTACAATAGTTGGAAGGCGAACCCAGATGTCTTTCACTGCCACCAAACACTTGGTCCAGCATCATAAAAATTGCTCAGTTTTTTTCCGCAACTTGAATGGAATACAAATGATTACAAACTATGGGGTTCATCTGCGAAAAGTGACTTGTGTCCATCAAGTTTAGAAAAAAAATTCCTTCTTGACCCAAGAATGGCAGTCAGATTTATTCCTGGATCTAGAAGTTATTGCCCTACAATTGGAAAATTATATCCTTAAATATTATGTTTTTGCAAGTATGCATCTAGTTGCTGTTTAAACATTTGTACAGACTCTGATAGAACCACTTCTTCAGGCTGAGAATTCCACATCCTTATTATTCTTACTGTAAAAAAAAACTTTTTCTTTGCCTTAGACTAAATCTCTTTTCTTTCAGTCTAAACGTGTGACCTTGTGTCCTACATATATAGTTCCGCTTGTGAATAGATTTCCAGACAATGGTTTGTATTGGCCCTAAATATATTTGTATGATGTTATCATATTCCATCTGAGGCACCGTTTTTCAAAATTAAAGAGATTTACATTTGTTAACCTTTCTTCATAGCTAAAATGTTCCATGCCTTTTATTCCGTTTGTAGCCCGCCTCTGCACTTTTTCTAGTGCCTTAATATCCTTCTTTAGAATAGGTGCCCAATATTACACAGCATATTCAAGATGTGGTCTTACCAGTGATTTATAAAGAGGCAAAATTATATTCCCATCCTGAAAATGAATGCCCTATTTTATACATGACAATACCTTACTGGCCTTAGTCACTGCTGATTGACATTGCATATTGTTGCCTAATTTGTTTTCTATAACAATTTCAAAATCTTTTTCGTGTGTTGTAACCCTAATTCACTATAATATAGGGTGTAGGTTGTTTGTGCATTCTATATCCCGAAGTGCATTTTTCCACATTAAATTCCATCTGCCATTTGAGTGCCCAATTCCCCAATCCTGCTCACATTGTTATCTGCAAACACTGAAACATGACTTGCAATGCTTATTTCAAGATCATTTATAAATATGTTAAGCAGAACCCTGAGGGACACCACTTACCACTTTTGTCCAGCTTGAAAATTTACCACTAATGGCTACTCTATTTTTAAGCCAATGTCCTACCAAAGAACAAGAATTCAAATCAAAGTTTAGTATATTGAGTAATTTGGTTCACATAGACAAAAGCAGGACGGTGACACTGAGATTAAGATCTGTTCAGCTGTCTCAGAAGTGCTACCTACAATGACTACCAAGATATATATGGCACATGCAAGGGATTTATAAAGATGGTTATTAAAAACCGGTTTTATAGAGTTACTCTAAATTCTTTCATTAAATCTAAGCTAAACTTTGTTTTACATGACTTAATTCAATCGCCAACTTAGTTATTCACTAAAGTTTGAATTGTTGGGAATTTAAAGTAAAATTATATTTTAGGCCAAAATAGACAATGTGATATAAATCATTGAGTCATAATTTTATTGAACCTATTTTGGCATAAAAGTATTAATTCAGTTTGAATTCACTAAGAATACATATTAACTCAACTGTTTGTTATTGACCCTGTCTGTATATGCATACTTTACACAAAGTCTGATACTAGACAAGTGCAATTTGTTTCGGTCCAAATGTGAATTCGGATGAATTTCGGGCAATTCGGACATTTGGGTACTTGCGGATGTCCGAATTGTCGACGTCCCGAAGTTCCGAAATAGCCGAAGTTCCGAAATTGCCGAAGTTCCGAAGCACAGTATTGCCTAAGAACTAATATACTTACCCAGTGGAAGAATGAAGAATGTTACACTGTATACAATTTTAAATAAAAAGTATACAAACGTAGCCAGGATTCAGCTGTAAGCATTTGCAACACTTACAACAATCAAGTAACATACATTCATAAAAAATTTAAGTTACTTAGCCAGTGAATGTAATGACAGGAATTAATAAGTAGATAACTCCCTAATTCCCACGGTATTAGGAAGCTATCTACTAATAGGTTGAAAGACCTAAATTGGTCTTTCAGCCAAATTTACTAATACTAAGTAAAGATTACTTAGTATTAGTAAATTATGCCCTTACTCTCTAAACCGCGAGTAAGAGCATGTCTATTAAACAGTGAACTATTGCGCCCCAGCCCCCACTCCTGAGCGGCGGGTAGGGGCCCTAAAGTAAAATAATGGGGGGGGTGGGGGATTTGTCTTCCCCCCAGCCCCCACCCCTGATTGGCGGGTGGGGGCCCTAAATCAGAATAAGGGGGGGACTTAATGTCCTCCCCCCCTGGCCCCCACCCCTGAGTGGTGGGTGGGGGCCCTAAATTATAATAAGGGCGGGGACCCTCCTTGCCCCGCCCTGCAGAGCTCAGTCTGTGCAGAGCCCTCCATGGGTGAAGAAAGATTATTTTTTTTGCGCTAGGTCCCCCCCCTTATTAGTATTTAGCGCCCCCACCCACCGCTCAGGGGTGGGGGCCAGGGGGGAGGACATTAGGTCACCCCCTTATTCTAATTTAGGGCCCCCACTCACCATTCAGGGGTGGGGGCCAGGGGGAGAACATTAGGTCCCCCCTTATTAGTATTTAGGGCCCCCACCCACTGCTCAGGGGTGGGGGCCAGAAGTGAGGACAATAGGTCCCCCCCCATCATTTTACTTTAGGGCAATTTAGGTCTTTCAGCCTTTTGGTAGATAACTCCCTAATACCGTGGGAATTAGGGAGTTATCTACTAAGCGGCTGCAAGAGAAGTGCCGAAGTCCCAAAATTCTGAAATGCTGAAGTTCCGAAGTGGCCAAGTTCCGAAGTTCCGAAGTGTCGAAATGCCGAATTTCAGAATGACGAACTGAACCGAAAATTTTCCCCATGCACATGCCTATCTGATATACCAATTTAGTTGATTGCTTACAGGTTGTAGAGCCCATTCTTTTCAAATACTTTAAAATTGTTAACCTAATTCTAATTGCTGATTTAAATAGTTTCATACAATCATTCCAAGTTGTACAAATCATTACACACAATTATTCCTAGTGGTACATATAAAATGTTTACAGACAGTGAAAGGGAAATTTGTATTTAACTCTTTTATCTTCCATTATGATGATCGTTTTTGTGGAGTGCTCTGAATTTTGTATATTGTATAAATGAATCCCAGCAGCAACTTTATTACTTGCCCACTTGTCACATTGTCAGTACCTTAGTCAAAATATAATCCTTATCTCAAATAGGAATCAGTGCAACTTTTTTGCCTTCTCTTAACATTTGTGTTTGCCAAAATCTATGCCAACACTCTTTTTAAGTATAGATTTTCAACCCATTGATACTTCCCACGTTTAAGTGAATAGTTTATTTTTCACATATTTTCTCATCACAAGACAGTCTTGTTTGGATAAACTGCTTAGGATCTTTTCTGATGAAAATGCCTAAAAGGCTTCCCTTTTCATTGCAAAAGCACAACAACAAACAAGGAGACTACTATGAAAACAACTCATTGTTTTCTTCTTTTTGTGATCTATACTACGACCTGATTGATGCCATCATCATAGCCTCTAGCATTAGGTGACTCCTTGACTTGACAAACTTTCAATTAAAGAACAAAGTATTTGAAATTAATTTACCTAAAACATATAATCTTTGGCATGATTTTTAGGCAA